TTCATTAAAACACACTTAAACATTCCCACATCTCTGACTCAACAATTAAAAACTCACACACTCACCCACATCTACAAGACACTACCAATTACGTTAAAACCAATCAAGATCTGACAAGAGAAATTGAAATTAAGGTAAGTTACATACTGAACTTCATTAAAACACACTTAAACATTCCCACATCTCTGACTCAACAATTAAAAACTCACACACTCACCCACATCTACAAGACACTACCAATTACGTTAAAACCAATCAAGATCTGACAAGAGAAATTGAAATTAAGGTAAGTTACATACTGAACTTCATTAAAACACACTTGAACATTCCCACATCTCTGACTCAACAAATAAAAACCCTCACACTCACCCATCTCCGATCCAACAATTAAAAACTTACACACTCACCCACATCTACAAGACACTACCAATTACGTTAAAACCAATCAAGATCTGACAAGAGAAATTGAAATTAAGGTAAGTTACATACTGAACTTCATCAAAACACACTTGAACATTCCCACATCTCTGACTCAACAATTAAAAACTCTCACACTCACCCATCTCTGACTCAACAATTAAAAACTCACACACTCACCCACATCTACAAGACACTACCAATTACGTTAAAACCAATCAAGACTGACAAGAGAAATTGAAATTAAGGTAAGTTACATACTGAACTTCATCAAAACACACTTAAACATTCCCACATCTCTGACTCAACAATTAAAAACTCTCACACTCACCCATCTCCGGTCCAACAACTCACACACTCACCCACATCTCCGGTTCGACAATTAAAAACCCTCACACTCGCGAATACCGGATCTTTATAGTCTTCCAAAGACACAAACCCAGTTTCCATGTAAGGCCTATTATTTCAGTGTATAGGTCACCCGCAGAAAGTTTGTCAATGGGGAATATTTTACATGGACTTTTGACTGTGGTACCTAGCCACTTACTTAGTACCCAACATTTCTTACAGAAGCTCGCAAGTGGTGAGGTAAACCGTGCATCATTCTGTTTAGTTTTGGCATGCTTGCATTATATCCACCCATACCTGTTCTAGAAGCGATAACGACTATCCTCGAACCTTTAAATAAAATCCTGATACCATAGACCTTCTGGTATTGTCGATTTATTTAATGGAAGCGGCTCTTCGTTGTATTCTAACTAATATCTATTACCGTTTTGTAACTGATATTTTCCTACAAATCCAAGATATTGCAATGGGTAATAAGGTTGCTGTAGTTGATTCTGTTGTTTTCACGTATTGTCTTGAAAAAGGAACCTCAAAAAGAATAAACTAAGATTGGTTATCGCTGCATAGATTACGTATTTAGGATCTGGAATTATGGGATTGAACACTAATTGATTTACACAACCACCTTAATAAGCTAAATCCCAAAATTAAGATCATTCTTGGAACCTCAAACGATATGTCCACACTTGCCTTCCTGGACAGTGGTAATACAGGAAGATGGAAAAATACACACGTTTATACACAGGAAAAACCATTAGTAACTAAAAATTCTACACTTTCAGTCGCACCATCCTCTGTAAGGAAAGAAGTGACTATGAAACAATTACACAAGCTCTGCAGGACGTGCTCGAACACAAAAACACGGTATCCTAAAACGACTGAGCTTAGATTATTCTACAAGCGGGTACCCGAACACAAACATAACTTACATTTTCAACGATTGGAAGGCAAAGCGAGAAAGATGGAGTGAGGAGATATACTTTTCCAATAACAATAAAACAGAACCATACTGTACAAGAATTCTTCAGCTACATGGACCATATATACCATTACCAAGAAATTATGGAAAACTGTGAAAAAATGCAGTCTCTCAGTTAGAATCGTACAGAAACCAGGTTTGACTCTAAAACAGGTTCTTACTAGATCTCCTTTCATGCACAATAAACACTGCAAGAACAAACGCCTGTTTATTAAGTCCTCAAATATACATTTAAGACCATCTGCATTGGAAATCCTTCCATGACCGTGTCAATATGAATAAGCTTCTGGACATAAACAAAGCATACAGTAGTTAAACACTATATATTGAGTGTTGAAAGTTCTCACAATACTCGACGAGAAAATAAAAACTAATAATGACCAAATGTAATGGCTAGCTTCTGTCTTAAATTTAACAAAAGTTATTTTAGATAATAACTTAAACATTATTTACTTATTTTGCTTAATTGTATTTAACTTTTCCATGTAGGCTTTCCTTTTACTGTGTAATGTACTTTCAAAGTTTGATACAAACTAAAGCAAAACAAAACACATTGTACTAGGCGTAAATGGTACACGTTCTCTACAAATTGTACTAGAAATTTAATATAATTTGATTAGCTCAGTAGAACTCATTATATAATTTCTGTAATGCATATTGATATACAGAAGACATATAAATTCTAGAAATAAACGATTTCGCTTTACAACAAACTATACCTCCAACTGTATCTCCAACACAGTGGTGTCTCAATGCGTAATAGAGTCGCTGTTATTTATGCTGTAATATTTATGCACGTTTTTGAAACAACGACACTTGATAAGTGGCGTCAAGATACCAACACCGACCCTGATCTCTGGCTTAGATACATCGATGACGTATTTGGACTATGGAACCACGGTCTTCCTTCTTTAATCCAATTTTTAGAATTTCTAAATTCCATAGACCTCAACATCCAAATTAGCCTAAATCATTCAAATGACAAGAGGAACATAAATGTTCTTGACTTTACCTTAAGGCTCGACAATCTACCTTATGTACGTTATAGATTCGAATATAATTTATTATTTAAATCATTTGAAACTTTGTACTGTCAGTTTCGGTTTGAGTTTTAGTGAACGCTTCTAAAGAAGCTGTAAAGCGAAACATTGGATGTTTAATTAAATAAAAACAACACTTTGGTGTTACAAGGTCGTTTATTTCTAGTACCAAGAGCTAAATAGAAGTTATTTTAAGCCTCAGATCTTCAATTAACGATCAAATATGTTCCCTTTTCAAGTTTTATTTCTTTGAGGTCTAATAGTATTTCACTAAAATTCTCGTTCTATAGGTTTCTTTGAAGCATGTAAAATGTGGCTATAATTATTGTTCTATATTTGTGAATGGTACTACCATTAATTTTTTTACTTTTTGACGTTTGTTACTTATTAAGTTAACAGGTATTTGGCATTATTAATCTGAACGGCACATTAGACGACATATTAGCTAAACGTTCACATTAAGAACCCCCCAAGTTCAAGCACAGCCATTCCGAATTTATAACTGCTGACTAGAAAGGGGGACACCTAGTGTGAAAAATCTGTCGCCTTTGGAGTTTCTCTTAATCCAAAAGACAAATTTACTGTTCACATTTAGAACTCCTCAACAGCTGAAAGCGTGGAGTGTGTTCAGCAGCATATCACGGTTAAAACCTTAGACCTCCCGACATGCAGCCCAGTACGTCACCATTAGGACTCTCCGACTCGATTAGCAAGAACGTAGCTGTAATCTGTTAACGAAATAATTGGATATCAGGAAAGTTTAAAAACCTAAGAAATTTGGATAAATTGCAAACAATGCATCACGTGAGAGTAAGCGCAAGAAATGTAACTCAGTAACTCCGAAAAAATATTTATAATATGTATAGAATATGCGAACTAATAGGAAATCATAAACTGTAATTCTAAGAAATAAGTTTCTTTGAATATCTTTGCTTGTATATATATGCTGTACAGCATTCAAAATACGTAGTGAATTGTTCATTCATATACTTTTAATCTTTTTTAGTAATGGTGTTTGTATTTTTAACCTGAACGGCATTTTATGTACAACGTGGGCTAAATAGTCAGGTCAGAGACCCCCTAGAAGTCAGGTATAGCCGTCCCTAATTTTAAATACCGACCAGTCATTGGCATTCATAGCCACAACAACTTAGTCCGGCTTCTTGAACAGAATTATGAGACTGACTGTTACTTTTATACTGCACCCACAGCCGAAAGTGCAGAGCGTGTTCGACGATATTACAACTCGAATCTTGTGAGATCACATACGCAGCTTGGCACGCTATTCATAACCCACATCTAGCTTCTATGTGTTTTAATAACGATGTCTGATGAATATTTACTTGACTATTAAAGCTGTTAGTACCAGGGGCGGATTAAGGCGGGGGCAATTGTGGCTGTAGCTCCAGGTCCGGGCTCAAAAAGGGCCCGTTATGAGGTTCAGTTTTTATGACCTTAGTCTTTAGAGGCGATCATAATAGGCCTGGTAGAAAATTGTAGCTCCAGGCCCGTCTGACCCTTAATCAGCTTCGTGGTGAGAGGGTTAATCCGCCCCTGATTAATAAACACCGATAATTTTGACAAGAAGGGAAAATCACCTTTGGTCTGTTCATATGGTTTAGTGAAATATATCGCCTTGATTGAAATGTAGAGTTTCAACGCGAATTTGAATTTATATATTATTTCTGTGTAGTTACGTTTATATATAATTTCTTAAGTCCAAAGTAGTTTGAGGCTCAATGAAAAATTTAAGTTGGTTAATTTTAAGTAAAGCTAGATGTCGCTAGCTGCTGTGTTCACCGTGGTGAATCGAACCCCGTATTTTATCGTCGCTAGTTCCGTAGACTTACCGTTGACGCAAAAAGTTAAACTGTATTAATGATTAAAGATACACATATGCTAAACTAGATGTTTTAATGAAAAATAAGTTACACGAGGATATCTCATTAAAAGTAATTATGTATACACAAAAACAGTGCATTTTAATAACTTATCAAACCGCCTGGTGCCGAAAACTACAGCAAAAATTACATGTATTTTTGGCAGATCCTTCTGAATGACAATCGTTGATCGATGAAATAATGTTTAATTTTTAAATAGATATTCTTGTGTATTTTAACATTAATCATTACTGAAATATTGTCGTTAGAATACATTGATACTCCAGAATATCTAATAAATAATAATAAAATTTAATTACAAGACAATATTTAAATACAGATAAACATCTAATTTAGAAAATGAATTACTTGTGAATATCTTATAATTAACGAAAAGAATACATTATAAGTAGTACAATAGAACACGGGGGCTCGTAGTCTCAACGCAACTGACCCAATCGCCTCGTGCTAGTTTTCAATTCGCCATTTTGTTGTGATTAGTTTTCCTGTATACTAGGGGATAAACTCGTGCTTCGCGTACAATGTATGTACTAAAATTATTTTACTATCAAAATATTGTTTAGGAAAAACAATAAAAAAATAGGAGATAGACGGGATTGATTCCTCGACGTCCAGCATACGAAGCGTGTGCTGTGCCATATGAGCCAAAGTCCAAATATTTTTTTGTTCATACATGCAGCATTATTATGTGGAATACTACATATTGTTACGACATCTA